AATAGCGCTGGTTATGAATACGACGCCCAGTGTTAATATTTATTTCAGTCTCTCACACGTCGGTTAATAGAAATTGAATTGAAATTAAAATTCTAGTATACTGTTTTCGGTCTGAAATTTTAACATCAGACGGCAAGTATTTTTTTGATATCTAGTTTAATTCTTTTAATTTGTTTTTATATTCTCATAGATAATTTGCTACAGAATTCCACAAATATCGATTTAATTAACGATAAGTTAAACACGCAATAAGTTTATATAGTTTTAATAAATTAAAGATTCTTCTTCATAGATCTACAGTATTAAAGGAACATTATCAGTTTAAATAAGAAAATAAGTGGTCTTATACTTATTTCAAATAACCTTAGAAATTCCTATCGAAAATCCAAAAACATTTTTATGTAAAGGAATGGTTATTACTCTGGTTTTTGCTGAATACCTTAATGAACCTATGTGAAATGTGTACGACTCGTAAATTTAATCACAGAATGTCTATTTCTCAGCATTCGATTATCAAACTTTGCACAGTTAAATTTTAACATGCCAATATTATATTGGACGCCCTTGCTTACTTTTAAAGACCTATTTTCTATTTTATACACGGTGTTTAAATTCATTATTCCAAATTTTACATAATATTATATTTATGTTAGCCGTATTAACAAGTAGATGTTAGAATCGTCAAGTACTATTAACAAATGTCACGAATTCGATTTATAAATCATTAACCTCTTCAACCTACTGGCTAATAATTACATGTAACACTCCCCATTAATGAAAATACCTTTGTTCCATATAGCTTGGTTTATTGCCTTACTTACAGTATATACATAATCTTACCAACATTCCAATCCATGACACCATGCTGTCACACCCACAATATACACGATCTCTCTCGTCGAATCACGAGTAAATTCTAGTATCGTGCACGATCTCTCCCAGTTCTTTCAGGAAAACAATTCGTCGAATTATAATAAATGCTAGTGTCGTGCACAAACCAGGACACCATGCTGTCACATCCATATTATAAACGATCTCTCCTAGTTCATTTGTGAAACCAATTCGTCGAATTATGATAAATGTTAGTGTCGTGCACAAAGCAGGATATACCGTTTCCCGTACACCTTATACCAAGTTTCATGACACCATAACGTCACACCCACAATATACACGATCTCTCCCTATTCATTTGGGAAATCCGTGTAGCTAACTGTAAGTAAATTCGAATGTCATGCACGAGACAGGATATCCTTTTTTCCGCACATCTTATATCTCTTTCATAACACCATGACGTCATTTGGGAAATACATACAACATGTAAGTAAATTCGCGTGACGTGCAAGAGATAGGACATGCTTTCTATTTTTTACTGCACGTGATACCCCTTCACATGGCTAACAATTTTCGTTATACTATAATCCCTCTCAGTGAGTGAGAAGTCCTGTGTTCGATCCCTGTGTTGCCGAGAAAGTTATTTGAGATTTTCCGGTGGGTTGGCCGGGAAAATTAATTGAGATTTTCCAGCTGCATAAATGTTGGCGGCACTTGATCTTTAGTGTGCGTGAAATGTTTGTGTTTTTTTCCAGTGAGAAGGTTAATTCGATAATCCAATCACTGTTGATTTATGATTAGTGACTAATTAATGCTAACTTTGTGATTTGGGGGTATTAATGAAATATTATGAAGTCAGAAATAGTACGTAGTGGCAAAGCATTTGATAATATATTTTTATTAAAGACGCATTATGCAAGAGGTAAATCTGCCTATTGAAGATTTTTTGCTTTTGGCCTCAAATGTTATATAAACTATTAATTAGACATTGATTAACATGCCAAGGCCATAATCCACTCTCTCGAAAATTGAATGCTCTCGTTTGTCTGTCATTGGATTGAAACAAGATCGTCGTTTAATAATTTAATTTATAAATGGATAATCGAGACTTTGTTTACTATCGTAACAACGGTAGCAATGACAATCGAGACTGTGCTACGTTCCAAACAGCCATAACTTCGCTCAGAATAAAGTAATTTGACTGAAATTTTCAATATATTCATTTTGCATTATCTATTTTTAAACTAATATAGTGAGAACTGTTAACGCTTTATCGAAATCTTTTATAATACATTTTTAAAGATATTATTTCGTCCGTTTTATTAAACGTATCTTAATTGTAATTTTAATCAAAATTACATTCCTAAGTAATTGCGGTTGTACTTGACTAGGAGTAGGGTCACCTGTCCAACCTCGTGGGTTTTCTTCGGGTCTTCCGGTTTCCTCTCACTTCTAAAGATACCTACCCGCAAGCGAATTATTGAAATAAAATTGAACCATGTGTTAGTCCCGAAATGACCTAGTTTGTGTCGAGTGGACGTTAAACCTCATTTCTCTTTTCCTCTCTCTAAAGTAATTGCAATGATCACATTTATTTAAATAAAAAGGAATGAAAATGTAATTAATTGGATTTACAACGTAGTTATTGTATTGGTCCCGGACCGGCCTTCAGTACCGTCGCATTTTTTTTTTAAAAAAGCAGCCTGTGATACATATAACTTCCTTTTTAAAATCTCTTTCAAGAAGGTACCTTACTGAATTAACCACATTAAAATTGCGAACAAATCATCTCAAAGATGACAACTCCCCATTCCCCCCTTGTCGTTACCAAGAGAGAATGCGAATACGCATCACTGGGCTATGAATATCACCCAAGAATTCATATATCAGATAATTTCAACGGTTTTTTAAGAAACATTAGCAACAAGAAAGTTTTACCTGTAAACTGAAATTCACATAGGTCAGGGTTATCGATACATTTTACCCCCCTGAAACAAAGCCTGGGTTTTACTAAGTCCGTGCCTTCCTTGAGTAAACTACTCATGTAACAAAATCAACCCTATATATTATCACCAATCATAAATGTCAATATCCTATTGTTTGTTATTGTCTAGTTCTCACTACTTTATAATCGGTTTACTGTTATACTAGAATTACAACTTTCACTTCCAATAATCCAAGTTTGGTGGAAGTCTACATTCCCTGCAGTTATTGAAGAAACGGGCCAAAGCTAGTGTTAATTCAGGGGTCACAATTATTATATGGAATACAATTACTGCTTATTATACTGGGTGACGTTTCGATAATGTTTCTCTAATCTACAACATTGCTTGATAAAGACTCCAGTTCAATTACTAAATGCCATTGGAACATTTTACTGTTAATTCATTTATTAAATTCAAAAATTATTCCTTTACCGATGATTCGATTTTTACCAAATTGATATTTTACGATTTACAGGATCATCAGTCGTGCATATAATCATCTAGAACTTCTAGCGGGAATTGCATCATTATGGCTAGCCAATCAGAAGATATCTATGATAATAATGATGTTTACAGTCAAAATCAATCTAACAAGTAAGTAAAAGAATTTTAAAAGAAGTTTATTTCATGTGGCAATGGATATGATCCCGTCAATGCCCCACTGATGTAGTGCTTCTGTTCATCCAGCGATACATTCTATTAAGGCGTTGATAGGCCATAAGAATAGAAGTGGGATTAGAACATAGAACGGAACACTGTGGCACTCTAGCCTCGATAATTAATGAAGCCCTTATTTATAAAAAAACCCACACCAAACGCCTATCATAGTGCACCAGTTTATTATCTCTTTCGGTTGAAAGCGTTCTGTACATAAAGCAAGAAACCCTACTATGTTGTTAATGTGCCACAAGAATAGAAGAAGACCGAGAACGGAACCCTGTGGCACCCCGGCCTCGATAATCAATGAAGCTCTTATAAACTAACACAAACGCCCTTCCTAATGAATCGATTTTAGCATGTCTGTTAATTTAAAATTTATCTGTAGTTCTGCATGTAAAGCAAAAAATTCTAATGACAGCCGAAATATACGTGGACAGAGAACGGGGTCCTGCGACACAGAAGACTTGATATTACAAAATAGCGACAAACGCCTGTCCTAATCAACGTTTACGATGAAATTCGCGGAAAGATTTACGAAAAGAGTTTCTCAGATTTATAAAATCATTATAGCACAAACGTTATAAGTCCCCAAAAAAGTCGTATTTGTGTGGCCCAATGTTTTCATTATGTGAATTGAATTATTAACCTTGTGAGATTGTTTATTACTTATGATTTGAATCTGATCCTCGAGCTGACATCGATCAAAGTCGGGCCCACGCGAGACAGATTGTCGTTATTAAACAAAGACTTCTTATGCTTCAGTATTCGGATTTAATGATTAATAGGTAATAAGAACACATACCCCATACAATGGCGGGTATTGTGAGGTATATAATAGAGATTATCATCGAGGGATTTAGTCAACAATACACGATTAAACCTGGCAACCGATACTTGATGTTTGTTAACTGCTATTTAACCAGATTTCCACATGTAATTCCAGATAAAGTCGACCCTACACGATTTTACATATTTATAATGAATAACATTGCATAAACATAATTCCTTTGTAACTTTGGGCTGAATTTAACAACCCCACAACTCTACTGTTTTATTAACGTTCCCCATTCATAAAACGGACATTTCGGAGGTGGGGGGGATAAAATGAAATGAAATGGGATTTAGTGTCCTACTGTTCTGCTCCGACTGGGCTAATGAAGACGGGCGTGCGTCATACAGTGAGCTATGAGGTAAATTTTGCCCAGGCAGCGGCACTATGGCCTACTCTTATATCGAATTCCAACTCCCAAGGGATCTCTTACGTGCACGGCAATGTGGGGGTTTTAATACAACAAACAGGGTATCAGGTATCGCATTGTACCTTTAATTAGTGTACCGTAGCTTATATTTATTCAGTTCAAGGGGGCCCTTGTGTGTTTTAATCTTTGTACCGCGGTCGTTTTAGTGAGAAGAATATCAGACACCGTCCAGGTGTATGCAACAGTTTGAGTGAGACATATTCGTAATTGTAAACTTGAAACTTCAACAGTTTTTGGAGACATTTTTGGTCATCTTTTGAGTAAAATTGATAGAAAATGGATTTATTCAGTTCTGTGGAAATAGCACGACCAAAACCATCAATGTTTACACCTACCTATTTATTGAGAGAACATACAGTTCCTCATATGTAAGTTTTAAAGTTGAAGGTTGATTAGGTTTTTTATGTTTTTCCTCGTTTTCTTTTTGATTGATGTTTTGTGATTGGATGCATCATTGATGTGTTAATCTTGTCCCCTTGTACTGGAAGTACGCCGCGCCGACCGTCCTTGTTTTGTTTCCACAGCATATTTCATGAACCTTTCAATATAACTTTTCGAAAATTTGCTAATTAGCAACCCCTCATTTTTAATATTTTTTGTGTTTTCATGGAAAATATGACTAATATGACTAAGTGTTTATGCCAGGGCAGTGGATGTCGATGACCGAGTCATCTTCCTTTGTTGCAACGATCCATTACCAACGTCACAAATTATTATCAGCTGATGACGTTTACAGATTTTTATATAATATATATATCAATCTTTACATGGCTGGGTATTTTTTATTTTCTTCAGAACAACATACGGTTGTATGAACGACTGGATGAATGTACAGAATCGTGTTCTGTCATCCGGTGTTCCAGTCACTATGTCAGACAGTAATTGGATGAAAGCGGTAAGTAGATTTATCATTTAAATGGGGTTTATCGTCTTACTTTTATGCACCAACGGGGATAATAAAGAAGTCATATTATGAGCATGCTCTGTAGAAAACGATGCCCGGGCAGCAGCGTTAAGCCATACTTGTATTTTGATTCAAATTGTCAGGGAATCCTTGTGTATGCAGAACCTCGGGTTTTCGTTCCAGTTGAATGATAGACGCCTTTCCTTGGCCAGCCGGCCATTTAAAGTCACGAAATTAAATAAATGAGAAAACATTAAAGATACAATATGGGAGATTCGATAACGAGTTGGCAGTTCTCACTATAATAGTTAAACACTAGATAATGTAAAGGCAATTTGCTGAAAATTTCATTTTGATTGATCTACTATGAACCGAGAACTAAGCGACTGAAATTTCCCCCTAGCCTCGGTCATCATTACAAAAGTCAGTACAATAAACAGCATAGTCTCGATTATCCATTTAATCGTTAAATCGAGATGGAAAGTTATGAAGTAAATTGGCTCACAATCCACTAAAGATCGCAGGCTAGCGCTGCCATCTAGAGTTGGTTATGTCCTGGATAGGTTAATTAAGGTCTAATTAATAATTCAGATAACTTTCAGGACTAAAGAAAGACCTGCAATAGACAGATTTAGCTCTCGCATGTAGGTGAACCAGGGACGACAAATGCTAACGAAATAGCATCGACATACTTTGAAAATTAAACTAGTTCGTAAGAAAACTCAGATCTATATTTCGTTTCGTTGACGTTTCTATTGGTTTACCCTCAGTTCCGTGCATGACACGCCAAGAAGTCGCCGTAACAGATGGTTTCATTGGCTAATCCCTCACGACACCCAGAACACCTGTTATATAACAACTCTTCCAGATCCTAGTGCAGTACAGACAAATAAAACGAAATTTTGAACTGTAAAAAACGAAACGAAAGAGGATCTGTGTTTTAATCAATCTAATTAAAATATAGATCTATATTTCGTTTCGTTTTTATACTTTCGATGGCCTACACTACATGTAGATCTAACAAGTTATAGTGGGAGTTCACGTTCTATGACCCGATTACGTCAGTCATTCGATTAACCAATTAGCGACCGCCATGTATTTTTTATCTACTTTTGCTTTGTTTTGATTTCTATTGCCGCTAATTTCTGACCCCTCATTTCAAGCAGAACACGAGTTAAATAACAACGCTTCCAGATCCAAGTGTAGTAAAGACAAGTAAAATCGAAATTTTGAACTATAAAAACGAAACGAAATTGGATCTGTGTTTTAATCAGATTGCAGCATTTACAATGAGGTTCTTAGAGAGCAGGATAAATAATATATAGCAATCTTTATTTTGTATTAGACTATTAGACAACTAGTCTCTATTCGCATCTATTATTTATTAGAAATGTAGAACAAAGTCCTCGATATAATCTGATTACATCTTCTAGTAAGTTGAAAATAAATAATTCATGTTATTTTTACGTCGTGTTTCCTTGTAGAACACAATGGCTGATACTCGACCAGGATTTAATGATAAATATGGTAAAGCTTATACTGAGCTCAGTCAACAGATAGCTTATAGACATCCTAATCCCGGTAAAGCAAGGTAAGCTACGTATTAATATCTGACACCACATTTACCTTTAATTCAGTCAAATTTCAAAATCGCAAAAATAGCTTCAAGGTCACATTTTGTGATCGCAAACCAACGGAAGAATAAACTGGTGTTTAATTGTAGCAGTAAAAAGCACAGTACGAAAATCTCGATAATTGACTGTTCAATTTGGAAATATATGAACGATCCTGCATGTAGGCTATTTGACATTGTGGTTAACGTTATTTGAAAGAATTTGATAATTATTTTGACTCATATTTCAAAGAACGTCTTGTAAAGTCATACAATTCCACAGACCTTGACACACAGCCCCATTGTTATATGGGGATCACGTGGCTAAGTGGGTAAGACGCTGGCTGGCTAGCCTGGAGGTCGGGTGTTCGATCCCTGCATTGGCCGAGAAAGTTCATTTTCCGGCGTGGTTTCCCCTTGTCAATGATGCAGGACGGGGGGCCCCAAAAAGGACAGCTGTCTAGTCGTACGGATGGGGCGAAAAACCGAGTCCTGTGTACATATTGGCGTGCACGTAAAAGATCCCTTGGCAGTTGGAATTCGATATAAGAGTAGGCCGTATCGCCGCTGCCCGGGCAAAATTTCCCTCATAGTACACTGTATGGCGTATGCCCGTCTTCATTAGCCCAGTTTAGGAGCAGAACAGTAGGACGTTAAACCCCATTTCATTTCCATTGATATATCATATTGTGTATCATTGTCACTATACACATCTTGGAGAAGGCATTACCACCGACACCGTTCCTTGGTCACACGCGCCCGTACCACGTTGTTAGCTGAACACATTACTTAGCCTTTGTATCATGTGCAACTTAAATCATATTGGGTAGGCCTAAGAACCAGACTAATTGTCACGTGAAACTTTGAAGCCTAAAGGTCAAAATCTGAGCAGTAAAGAGTTAACGTTCCGTTGTCACGGTTTTAGTTAGCCTCAGTCGGTCCCCAATTAGGCTAATCAATGTTCGTTTTAGAATGTTTTACTCAACTTTTACCAAATCTAATGTTATTATTTATTCTCTATGTGCAACAGGGAACGACAGGGACGTATTGGTGGATCATGGAGAAACATCAAGGAGGTGTTAGGACACAGTGGTAGCCGAGTGGTGTTCGTAGATGGTAAGAATAGCAGAATGCCTCCACGTGTTTATCATTCACCAGAGGGACGTCTTGGGCGCAGTGGCGGAAACTGGAGAAACGTCACAGAAGTTCAAGGTCACAGCGGAACTAACGTCTGTTTTGTGAACACGCCACGTGATCGTGATACAGAAATTTCTGGTCAAATGACGACACCTAGAAGCGGAAGAATGGGCAGAGCCGGTGGATCATGGCGACACATGACAGAAGTTGTTGGTCATGGCGGCAATCAAGTCATGTTCGTCGATGGTAAGCGGAAGTTGAAAGTCATTCACAAAATGTCGAGAAGAATGCCGACCTCTGCGCCCAGACTCCAGAACAGTACCGTTAATGTGTTTTTACTTGATTGGGCTTTATTGCTAAGCTTAAATTTCCATTTCTTGCTAGGCTTAAATTTCCATTTCTTGCTTTTTGAAAACAGTTGAAATTCTTTCTCGTATATTTATTGCGCAATCTTACTTTCCGCTATACGCAAACATTATTTTCCCACTCGCAACATACTCCGTGAAAGAGTCTGCATTTTTGTCAAATCTTTATTCTGTTTCTATAGCAACACTTAATATTTTTTCGCAAAGTGTGCAACTCACTTTCTAACCTTTTGACTCTCTGTGTTTTTTTGTTTGTTTTTTTTATTATTTTTTTTGTTTTTTTTCGTTACAATTACTAGTCTTACACTAACGGCACATAACTGTGTGGTATATGACCAAGACTCGTAATTCGCTACCCCATTGACTTCAATGGCCAACAACATTTTTATTAACGTTCCAATGATCTTAATCTTTATAACCACAAAGGGCCCATCATGTCACAATCATCTCACCAAAATATTGAAGGGTGTTGACCGTTTCGATCTATTTGCTTCGCCATATCAGGTTATGCGTTATAACGGCAGTATATGACGTCATTTAACAGATTTCCATTGCAATAAAGGTTAGGTGAAGGGGTGGGAATTTTTTTTGTTTTCCAATTCAGGGGAAACAATTACTAGTCTTAGTCCATTTATATACATCAAGCCTCTTCACCATTATCACCTACTTTCAGTTCTCTTCACCATGTACCTTGTGTCATTAGCCGTGAAAATACTTTTAACTTTGAATAATGTCATTAATTAGATACAAATATTGTACGCAATAATCTGTAAGGGGTAATCAAAGAGTCCATAAAACGAAACGCAGAATCGAGTAAAGTTATGAACCTCCGAACTGAGGACTACCCAATAGCGAAGTAGTGCTAGGTGTCTATGACAAGAGAAAGGATAGCCTTCCCCGCTCACGGTACCAATCACAACTAAAATTATGTTTATAGGTCAGGTCAATATCCCTACCTTGTTTTCAGTGAATTACGGATTTTCTTTTAACTGATCTCTAATGATTAATTATAGGTTTAGTGGGTATGTATGATACTCAAAAGTTTACTGATGATCTGTGTGCCCAACAGTCAGCCAGACCACATCTGAACGGAGATGGTTTTGTACCTGCTAAATATGAACCAGTTAATTTAACAACTCAAATGCCAGAGTATGACCCAAGCAGTAATCGATGTAAGCACCTTCTTTTCTAGTTCTATTTCAATAAAGGTCAGCGGTTCCTATTCCGGTGTTGGCCGAGAAAGTTCTTTGGGATTTACCACAGTGATTTCCCAATGTCCGTAGTGCCTAGAAACGATAATCATCTATTCAGTTCGGATGGTTATGAAAGACCGAAGTCCCATGTGCACGTAAAAGAATCCTTGGCAGTTGGAATTCGACGAAGAGTAGGATAAAACGTCGCTGTCTGGTCAAAATGTCTCTCATAGTACACTGCATGGTGCATGCCCGTCTTCGTTAGCAAGGTCGGCGCAGGAAGTAGAAAGTTAAACCCCATTCCATTTCAACAGAGTTGCCGTGTAAATATCAAATCATTGAAGGCAACCAAATGAAAATGTGTGATTGGTTTATGCCGAACCGAGGTCTGCATTCGGAACATTGGCAACCTCTCAGGGTATTTCCTATTATGGTATCTCCCCAGCGGTTTCTCGTGTGGTTCCGTTAATGCAGTGATTTTCAACCCTTTTTGCGAACGGCACACCTTGGAACATATGAAAAAATAGCGGGACACCTGGCTAAATATATATGAAAAATATTTGAATTTTTCAAAATAAAAACATAAGTCAGACGGCATATAACCGTAGACAGAGACTAGTCATAGACACATAGAATGACTCAAATTAAATAAAGAAAAACAAAGCTATGAACACCAGTGAATACTCAAGTGGAATCACGTTTTTTTTTTTCGAATTTTCTTAGTGTGCCGTTAAAAATTTCACGGCACACTAAGGAAAATCTGGTGGCACACTGGTTGAGAATCAATACGTTAATGAATCTTTTTAAGCTTCTTTATCAGCAATACTAGACATTGTTCTGGGTTGGGTTGTGATCGGTATATGTTAGGGTGGGTGTGTTTGACATCATCATAATTGTTATATGAAAAATGTGTTCATTTTCGTTTGCAGTACCAAGCGTTCCAGATGCAAGGCCACGAATGGATTATGGGGATGATGACGTCAACAGAAAAATGGCATTATTAGAAGAAGATAAATATAAAGGATTCTACAAATATAAATAAATTAATTAATAAATGAATTTCTCCATTTTGAATTATAGTCTTTCATAGACATTACCACATCAGTATTAGTCTTGAAATATTATAACCATAATTATTTTTAGTCAAATTAACCTACATTGTACTTATATTTCGTGGGTTTGAAGACAAATTCTCATTCAAATTGTTTTATATTAAACCCGTGTATATTGCTGTAAAAATACCTGTAGATTGATTTCATTGTCTGTGTTTGGGTGGGAACAACCAATGGTATATTAGTCTTTATAACCACTGATTGTCATTTGCGCCATCTGCATTTTACGAACAATATTGGATATTTTTTACGAATATTTTTTATGAATATGCAACATAGATGTTGAAATATCAAACGTATAATATTTAATAGAAACATAAATAAAGCTATTTTCCTTTTCTCCTAGGATAGATATTGAAAGTTAATGTTATGATATTTAATATTTAATCGAAACATAAATAAATCCATTTTCCTTGGAAAATGTATATCATGTTAGTTTCGTTTTCTTAATCTACAAAAGTAGGTGGGTACTAGAAAACCAGTTGATCCGAGGGCTTAGAGTTACCCTGTCCTCTTCTACATTTTCCCTTGTAAATATCAATATTTATATAATTTATTTCGATGTTTCGTATAAAATTGATATCCTTCACATTTGTGGGACTGTATATAAATATAAATGGATACATCATGTGATTTTATTAAACTGTTGTGTATCAGAATATTAATTGTTTAAATTTCATTGTTAATAGTATTGTTGTTTTATTTAATGTATATTTATTACGTATATATTTTGATATATCCCATCCTGTAATAAAACATGATTGTATAATATGTCTTCTGTTAATTTTGTTATATTTTATCCAAACCAAGTCACGTACAGCGTGTGTGCTTTGTGCGCAATTTATCACGGTCTTCATTACTCCAGTCGGGTGTCACGGTGGCTATAGTGGGTAAGACGCTGGCTCGCTAGCCTAAAGGTCGGGTGTTCGATCTCTGCATTCGCCGAGAAAGTTCACACAGATTTTCCGGCGTGGTTCCACCTTGTCAGTGATGCAGGGCGGAGGGCCTGACAAGGACAGCTGTCCAGTCATTCGGATGAGACGAAAAACCGAGGTCCCGTGTACACATTGGCGTGCATGTAAAAAATCCCTTGACAGTTGGAATTCGATATAAGAGTACGCCGTAGTTTCGCTGTCAAATTTCCCTCATAGGACACGGTATGGTGTATGCCCGTCTTCATTAGCCCAGTTCCCGGGGCGGATCCAGAGGGGGGTTTGGGGGGGTCGACCCCCCCCCCCCTCAGCTACATTAATTTTTATGTAAATCAACACTTTGTATGAGAAAAGTTTCTCATACCCCCCACCCCACCCCCCCTCAGCTACATAAATTTTTATGTAAATCAACACTTTGTATGAGAAAAGTTTCTCGGCCGTCATTGTATTCATTCATAAAAACAATTGACGTCAAACGAGGTGTTGAATTTCTCTGTTAAAAAGCTCAATGTGTATGTATATACGCTAAAATGATTATAGAGACCATGCGAGGGGAGGGGGGAGATACATTGTTACAGGAACCTGACAAACCCCCTCCTGCAAAAATTCCTGGATCCGCCCCTGAGTTCGGAGCAAAGCAGTCGGGCGTTAATCCCCATTTCATTTCATTTCATTTCATTACTCCAGTCGGGACAGAAAACTATGACGTTAAACTCCATTTCTTTTCATTTCATCTGTTATACCCCAGAGTTTTAGCGCTCCTGGAAATAAAGCCGTGTATATGTCGAATATACAGAGTCGGTTGTAGAAAATGCGGGGCCCAATTTGGTAGGTCCGAAGTAACAGGATATGAATGTAGGATAGGAATAACTTGAACTAGAGCTCTGTTCATTCATGCTTTACTTCATAATTAGTAATTGATTAATACAGGTGTACAGTAAGCAAATGAAATGGGGATTAGCTTCTACTTTTCTGCTATGACTGGGTTAATGAAGAAGGGAATACGCCATGCGGTGTGCTATGAGGGATACTTTGCCCGGACAGCGGCACTACGACCTACTCTTACATCGAATTTTAAATACCAATGTGTACATAGCATTAGAAATTGATGAATCTAATACTTGTATTGTTAAGATGCCAGTAAAGGTAGTTTCCATACTCCAGTGATTTGGAAATGAAATGTGGTTTAACGTCCTACTGTTCTGCTCCAAACTGAGCTAATGAAGATGGGCATACGCCATACAGTGTGCCATGAGGGGAAACTTTGCCCGGATAGCGGGGCTAAGGTCTATTCCAACTGTCATGGTTTATCGTCCCATCCGAACGACTATACGTTGTCCCTTGTCAGGCCCTCAGTCCTGAAGCAGTAACAAGGGGGAACCACGCAGGAAAATCCCGAAGAACTTTCTCGAACAAGGCATGGATCGAACATGGGACCTCCGGGTAAGGGAGCCAACGCTTTGCCCACTGTGGCTCCCATATACAGTATGGATATCAGAGATAATCTAGAATGTGCATTTAGCCAGTAACCAGCATGCAGCGTTATTGTTGTGTTTGGGATGACTCGGCGAGTAAGACGCTGGCTCGCTAACTAGGGTTCGCTCCCGGTGTCGGCTGAGAAAGGGCCTCAAGGTTTTTTTTCTTGTCAGTGGTGCAGGACGGAGGGCACGACAAGGAATGTGTCAAGTTGTTCGGATGGGACGGAAACCGAGGTGCGGTGTGCATATTGACGTGCACATAAAACAAAGTGGGGATTCGATATAAAGTTAGGACGTAGTGCCACTGTTCTGCATATTTCCGTCATACCACACTTTGTGGTGTACACTCCTCTTCATTAGCCCAATCAGTACAGAAAAGTAGGATGTTAAACCCTATTTAATCAGCTACGGTTCAAATACGTTTCGCAGTGTAATATATAGTATGGAAGTCAGGATAAGCCATAATAGGTGGTGATCATTATAGAATTTATCCTGTTCTTGTCCCCATTCTCAACGAGGTGCCAACTTTTCGATGACACCCTAACACATCCATCAACTGGAATCCCTTAGAATATATTTCCACAGCGGAACAAATAGTTCTTTAATATCTCAATAAAAGCAACAAATAAAATTGAAACCTATTCATGATTAAATAAAGTTTGTTTTTTTTTCTATTTCACATCTTATATAAATTTCATCATATCCGGTAATAAAATAAATAACCAAAATATAACTAAATTTTATCACTTAGAAGGTGTTCGAGTGTCAGTACAGAACCCCTTTGAATTGACGGAATTGCAAACCCGTGACAGGGATTTGGTTCCCGTCACAGCTCTGCCAGTGTCAAAATCAATGGTGGTGTTAGTAATGGTGACATATTCAGTTTGTGCATACATGTACTTATCACTAGAAAATGTCCAGGAATTGAGAGAATCCAAGTCCTGAACATTCAATCGAACACCCCCTAGATTTTCCATAGATGGCACTGATGTACATATTGAGCCAGTGATAGAGTGATACAGATTCCTGAAATGTTTTTATTCACGACCAAGACAAAAAAAACTAACCCACATGTGTAATTCCAAATACTTGAAATAGATAAATATTTATGTGATTTTCTCAGATTATCATTTCTAAACGAATGGTGGTACAGGCAGGGAGGCGGGCACCCCAGAGGTTAGGAAATTATAAATTTAATGAATTTACTATTTATTCCAAACTAACCAAGCTCCATGACCCACATTCCCCCTTTTCTGTTCATTGCAAAGAGGCAATTATTTCTGTCGATTAGGTTAAAAAAATAAAAATTCAATGTATGTACTTAAAGCTTTCCATATCCAAGTTTCAAATTTCCCTCTTTCTGGTGTAATTAATTCTGTTGATTGCCGTCCTTCTCCAAGACCTACCCTAAATAGATATCTGGATAATCCTGGAGCTGCCCCTGCTCAATCACATTCAAATATTAAGATACAACCCGTTTTTTTTTTTTGGTGTATATCCCTGGTGATTATTATATATACAATATACAAATATTATATACTTATACATGAATATACAATATATATATATATATTTTATAGTTATATATTATACATATATATACAATATACAAATATTTCATACTTATATATTATACAAAATACATATATAATATACTTATATACAATATACACATATTTTATACTTATATATTATACAATATACATATATTTTATACAATATACCGTACACATAGTTTATACTTATACATAATTTACATATTATATACATTTTCAATATTTACATCATTATGCACTGTAGAAATATATAATTATACTCTAAACAATGAACACATATAACATTTACACAAACAAATTTACAATTTTGAATTTCTTGTTTAAAAAACAATGTAGATGTATTTATGTATATTTGATAGATGAAGCTTGCTTTCTTTTTTTAAGATACATGATTGTGTGCTAAATATAGTGAATATCATACTTTAAAAACATGATGATCACAAATTTAGGACAAACTTAATGATACAACCAAGTTTATGTATTTTTGAATGATGTTACACATGTGTGCTACATGTAGATTTTACTGAATATATTATTTTCATTGAAAATAGAAAAATTATAAATTTGAGACAAACTTTATTATACAAGTTTGAACAAATATGAAACGATTTCAAATAAATTTGATATCATTCATGTTATATATGAATAAATAAATGTCAACTTACAGAGATACTTTGTATTAGAACTATTGCATACCGTATTGAGTTTGCCCCCACAATCTGTATGAAAAAAAAACCCACCCAATGGCACACCCCATAAATCAAATCTACTGTACAATAGTAAGCAGCGTTTTCATTTTTTCTACTGTCCCAACACCCCTCCCCCCCTTTTTTTTGCAGTAGACCAAATGCTAAGATCCCCCTCCCACCCCCCACCACACCCCACCCCACCTTCTAACTACGCTACTATATTTGCTTTTATATCTTTTAAGATAATTTAAAGAAGAATTCTAAACAAAATATACACCCCCCACCCCACCTTCTAACTACGCTACTATATTTGCTTTTATATCTTTTAAGATAATTTAAAGAAGAATTCTAAACAAAATATACACACCCCACCCCACCTTCTAACTACGCTACTATATTTGCTTTTATATCTTTTAAGATAATTTAAAGAAGAATTCTAAACAAAATATACACCCCCCACCCCACCTTCTAACTACGCTACTATATTTGCTTTTATATCTTTTAAGATAATTTAAAGAAGAATTCTAAACAAAATATACACTGTAGGTAATAACTTATTCAGATCATAAATACAAATATCTATATACAAAATAAAGCCTGCAGTTGCCAGGAAAGATACGCCCACATTTTGCAAGAAATGGATAGAGAACAAGCTAAAAACAAAAAGCGATTTTTCGTACAATCAGTGGCCATAATCGAAAGGGACTGAGATCTTTGGGATATAAAGATATATTTTTCAGTTTCATCAAAATCAGATAAAAATTGTGACCTTCGGAGGGGCCATAACCTTTGTATTACATAATTTTACACAATTTACGTATAAAGAGCAGCCATTTTGTCAGGGCAGTTACGTTTCGTACCTTCATTATGTTGGAATGGTGATATATTTAAACGTTACAGTCCGATATGCCCAAATATCAAAAGGAACCACGGTCTTTGGATTATAAACATACATATCAAGTTTCATCAAAATCGGAAAATCTTGTGACTTCTAGGGTGTCTAAAACCTTGGTATTACTTTAACACTATTTGCGTACAAGGAGCGGCAATTTGGTCTGTCAGTTTCGGTCAAATTTGTACGAAATTCGAACTCAACTTTCAATGATGTGTAATGGTGATATATGTAAATGGTTTTTAAAATTGAATAGAAATTGTAACTTCTTATGGGTCCACAAGATAAAAACGAGATCAGGGACCATAATCCAGAAAGTAATGTTTGGATATGTGCGATTATCAAAAGGAACCAAAGGAATCTTTGTGATATAAACATAAATTTAAAGTTTTATCAAAATCGGATAAAAATTGAGACTTCTAGAGGGTCCACAACCTTGATATACCATATTTTTACACTATTTGTATACAAGGGGAGGCCATTTTGTCCGGCAGTTTGGGTCCAATTTTCACAAATTTTGAACTCAACCAACATTAGGTATGCACAAATATCAAAAGGAACCAAGATTTTTGGGTTATAAAGATGCATTTCAAGTTTCATCAAAAACAGATGAAAATTGTGACCTCTAGAGTGTCCACAAGCTAAAAACAAGATTTTTCATACATGCCAATATCAAAAGGAACGGACGTCCGGACGGACAGGGGCAACGGCATAAAACATCAACATGAAACCTCAGGATGAAAATGTGGGCGTATAAAAAAACAATTTGATATCTTTAATACTTTGATATAGCTCTAATTAATAATATCATTTATAAATTAATCTGGGATTTTTTCTCAGCAAACATGAAATAAACTCACAATGCATAAAAGGATTTCTTGCAAATAAAGCAAAAGTTCAGTGTCTAGCTTTTAATTTCACTTGAAAATTATTGAAGATCCCAGGGAAAAGTCTTTCAAAGGGAAATAACTCCATATATTGGTAAGTTTTATGGAAACATTGTTTCTGTGCAACCATCAAGAGAACTCACCATACATAAGAATAATTTCTCTCAAATAAAGCTAAAGTTTGGTCCCACTCCCAGATATCTAATTACAAATATTTGAAAATTATCCTTCAATGGGAAATAACTCCATATATTGTCAAGTTTTTATGGGTTTTTTTTACGGATGCAATAAAATATACATGAGACGTACAATTAACAATTGTCTGGATAATATGAAATAATTTACAGATATCATCAACAAATATAAATACTAAACATGATACAGGATTTCCATAATGATCCATTTATAATATCCAAAACAACTTTTAAAAAATAAAAATAAAATCTACAATAAGATCCTACCGAAATTTCACTTTCGCACTACAAACTAAAATAAATTCTGATTCTCAAGATAAAATCAACGAGACTTTCTGATCATTGGCAATAACTTCACAATAAAACTAAGAAGATCCTAACTAAATTTCTTTCATACTAAAAATCTAATTCTCCAAAAAAAAAGAAGAAAAGTCAATGAAATTTTCTGATTATTAAAATAATTTAAATTGCCTATAGTTTGATTTGTGATTTAATTATCATTTCTTGTTGGTCGTTGAAATATAAAAAGAATTTGTACAAGAAATATGGCATGAAGTATGCTATGTAGGAAATTTTATCTAGACAGCCTAATCAAATTCCAAATATCAAGGTTTTTAAACCTACAAACAAAACAACATTCACAAGACTACAATGGCCATTTATCTAATCAGACACCTGAAAAACTAAAAATAAAACTGGTTTGGCCTGTTAATTTTGTTCATTATTTAGCTGGTGTGTATATGGAAGAATAATAATAATATCCATTCTAATAACTCAACAGTCACCGGGTGAATCACAATTAACCACAACAGACATCAAATTTACAATCTATAACAGCTTGTATTTACAATCTATAACAGCTTGTATTTACAATCTATAACAGCTTGTATTTACAATCTATAACGGCTTGTATTTACAATCTATAACAGCTTGTATTTACAATCTATAACAGCTTGTATTTACAATCTTTCAAACAAGTATTTCTAAATTACCACGAGCTCGATCTACTCTCAAAACTCTAAGCCATAACTTTCTAATGTCGCATAGGCCATATAAAATATATTCTGTTTCTCAGTCGTTATCACCCGTAGGCTCAAATATCAGGTATGCAGCCTAGATAAATGAAACTGAATAATCAATCATACATTCCTATAAACATGATGAGATAAATGTTTATGAGAAGTCATTTAGAAAAGTAGTGTTCCTTTGACAAGAAAATACAACAAAATTGAAAACCTCTTTCCTGCATCAAATTTGTTTCGAAGAATTCTCTGGGAACCAGAACATTTTTTGGCCATATAATATAAACCATGAGACAATTAGTGATTGCATGATTGAAATGAAAGATGAAATACTACATGAATTTGAACATTAACTTAAAATGACGACAATTGTATATATTTATGATTGACAGTATAACAGGACCTCACTATAATTTTAACTATCCCAGCTCACAAAGTCAACTATTCATCATCATATCATATGCAACTATCTTATTTCTATATATTTCCACTGATCGATCGAGTTGTGTGTGGCGGGATGATAAACATTAGTTAGAAATGTAACAACATAATTAATTATTGTTTACACACTTGTTGCCTGCATGTTAATACTGGCTTTGTTCGTTTTATTTTGATCACCATCACTAAATGATTGAACAGGTTTGATAGGTCGTGCTGGACTCCCGCTCTTCTTACCACAACACGTATCAAGATGACAGTTTTTATCTGGTCCACATTCTAAAACACAATCTCTCTCTGTCTCTGTCTGTGCCTCCAACTAATAAATCAAACAAAAAAAATGTCAATATACAAACAAATTGGAATAATAAATGAATAATCTATCCACAGTTGGAGAGAGAGAGAGAGAAATGGGGTTTAAAGTCCACTCGACACAAACTAGGTCATTTCGGGACTAACACATGGTTCAATTTTATTTCAATCATTCGCGTAGGGGTCTTTAGCAGTGGGAGGAAACCGAAGGATCCAGAGAAAACCCACAAGGTTGGACAGGTGACCCTACTCCTTGTCACTACAACCGGGGAATCGAAACCTCGCCAGTTGACTCAATGACAGACCGTATGATACAGCGCGTGCCACAGTTGGAGAATTCCATTAATTCTGTAAACAGTAAGAGAGAATAGACTGATCATTACTATTGATTATTATATAATTTCCAAACAGACACTACACTTATCATAAATAAAAAATTCTCCACTCAGTCTCCTTCAGCGAGCATCACACTTTGATTTAAAATCTATTCTCTTCTTAAAGGGACAGTAACACTCTTGCTGGCTTGACAGCTCCAGAAAATAAATAATAGCCTTATTCTAAGTATTAGATGTTTATGTGTCCTACCTGTTGTGTAAATTATTCATTACATCCTATTTTACTTGTCCAGAAGGATCGAAAATATTTTTAAATCCAAGTCAGATTGGAAAAGGTTTACGTTAGGCTTTTCAAATCATTTAGTTGAATTTTTCCAATTTTTTAAATTAGGTGTGTTAAGATGAAATTTGTATCATCAATTAATTGGAATATTGTAAAATAGTACAATTTGTTGACTAGAATAAAGATTGGGACATATTATTCAGTTACAACAAGAGTGGTATTGAGCCTTTAACTGCCTTTACATATCCTTCTGTTACAGTACAACCACACTATAGGATTTGTCTAATGATCTCCAGAAAACTGGCTGATGATGTACCGAGGACTGGCGGATCATGTAACGAGGACAGGCTGATGATCTACCGAGGACTGGATGATGATCTACAGAGGACAGGCTGATGATCTATCGAGGACTGGATGATAATCTACAGAGGACTGGCTGACTGATGATCTACAGAGGACTGGCTGATGATCTACCAAGGACTGGCTGACTGATGATCTACAGAGGACTGGCTGATGTTCTACCAAGGACCGACTGACTGATGTTCTACCGAGGACCGGCTGACCGATGATCTACCGAGGACCGGATGACCGATGATCTACAGAGGAGTGGCTGATAATCTACAGAGGACTGACTGATGATCTACAGAGGACTGGCTGATGATCTACAGAGGAGTGATCTACAGAGGACTGATGGATCTACAGAGGACTGGCTAGTGAACAATTTACAGAGGTGGGCTAACTATTGTATTTTGTGCCTCCATCATCACAGACAACCAAATGATAGTTACATATAAACGATATTGGCAATAAAAACGATTTTAAACATACCTCAAAAAATTCTGGCTGAATGGTCGTGGAATGTATGCCTTCATTATGGAAGAAATTTTTAACATCATTGGCTATTTTCATATAAACAACAGGATTAAGACAACGTATGTGAGCAGATGCAATAATTCTATTGCCAGTCAATTGCCATATATGGAGTTCATGTACATGTAAAATACCCTCAATCTACAAAATATACGAAAACATTTTTAAAATATCAAAGTGGAAATGTGTCTGTGAAAGTTAAAATATATAAAATGAAATGGGGTTTAAGATCCTACTGTTCTGCCCTGAATTGGGCTAATGAAGACGGGCATACGCAATACAGTGTGCTATGAGGGAAATTCCCCCCCCCCCACAGCGGCACTACAACCTACTCTTAAATCGAATTCCAACAGTCAAGGGACCTTTTAAGTGCACGCCAATGTGTACACGGGACCTCAGATTTTCGTATCTTCCGAATGACTAAACAGCTTTCCTTGTAAGGCCTTCCGTCCTGCATCACTGACAAGGAGAACCACGGGGGAAAATCTGGATGAACTTTCTCGGCAAATGCATGGATAAAGCTAAAGTAACTTGTTGCCATTAATCAGTCTTATACCATACTAATAGTTGAATGTACACATTTCTGCATGCTTCTCCGCCAACAAAAAAAGCTGGTCTAATGCAAATGTAATACAAGCGTTTCCATGACAATCTGATTAAAATACAGATTTATATTTCGTTTTGTTTTTTTATACTTTCGATGGCCTACACTACATGAAGCTCTGACAAGTTGTCCTGGTAGGTTGTCTCAGTGGTCGTACGAGCGGCTTTTGACCCTATGACGTCAGACATTGATTAATCAGAGTTGACGTTTCTAATGTTTTATCCACAGTTCTGTGCATGGCATGCCAAGAAGTCGCCGTAACAGACCGTTTCATTGGCTTATCCCTCACTTCAGCCAAAATGTTGGTAATATAACAACTCTTCCAGATCCTAGTGTAGTAAAGACAAGTAAAACGAAATTTTAAACTATAAAAAAACGAAACGAAATAGGATCTGTGTTTTAACCAGATTGTTTCTGGTTTAACGCAAACAATGTCAGGCTCCTGTTGTAAAGAGAAATCCCCAATTCTGACGTCAAACCGTTTTAGCAATTTTTCTGTACATATTAAAATGCACGCGGAAACGTTTACATGGAAAATGGGCCTAGTTTTCGGTTTAACTTGAGAGAAATTTAAAGAAGCGCAAAAAAAAATGAAATTCATTCGACAAAATACAGACCTGTGTTAATTTTTCACTTATATCTTCAACTTCTATATGTGCAGGCACAGTTTGTAATAATATACTAGATGAATCTTTCACTGAAAGTTTAATATAGCATTATATAATTATCATTGCAGTAAATTATCTTATTGATAATCCTAAAAAGGAAAAAAGGCAACAGTGAGGCTCATGTCCCCCGTTGAAATCCCAAAATCAATAGATGACACATATTAATTAATCGCTGTTAATTTTTTTTCAAAATTATTGAGCAATCAAACTATACACTAAGTTTCATCACTCTCTATCAGATCGAATCAAGCATCGGTCAATTAAAATAGATCAGCTCTGTTTAGCTTCAGTTCGAAATGTTAATCATTGAACTCAGTCAAGACATTCACCTAATGAACATCTACATCAAGTTGAAACATCCTACCTCAATTAAAAGCAGAATTGTTTATTCCAAAGCCTTGACCAATCAAATTGCTTATCGCTACTTAGCCTAAGCAGAGAATTCTCATCAAGGTATTCACCTAATGAACGCATACACCAAGTTTGAACATTCTACCTCCATTGGAAGGAGAGTTATTGTGTTCCAAAGTCTCAACCAATCAAATTGCTTATCGCTCTGCTTACCCCAAGCAGAAAATGTTCATTATCGAACTTAGTCAAGGTCCTCACTCTCACTTAAATAGAACTAAGTTATCGTGTCCCAAAGCATCAACCAATCAAATTGCCTATCTTTCCTTACCCTGAGCAGAAAATTCTCATCTTCAAACTCCATCAAGGCATTCACCTAATAGATACCTATGCCAAGTTTGAACATTCTAACTCAATTAGAATGAGAGTTATTGTGTTCCGACCAAAAAATTTCAAACATGTTTTAAAACATTTCATAAACATGCTTGAAAACATTTCATAAACACATTTGAAAACATTTCATAAACATGTTTGAAAACATTTCATAAACATGTTTTGTGTTCTAAGGTTTTGATACATTTAAACGTAAATGGAAGACAACTCTGAAATTTGCAATCAAAAACCAACTTTTTTAAATTAACAATTTGAAGAAAATCCGACAAGAACTGTAAGTTGAATTAACTGATGTGTGCATATAAAAAACCTTGACTGTAAAATAGTCTGTGAGAAAATTTACCGTTTTTTGTTTTTTTTTGTAACAGATATACTTACATAATGGAATGGAAGTTCCAAGGATAATTACTACCATACAAATACTACAAGTAAAAAAAACCATAACAATGTTAGTTAATTCAAACAGACAAACAATGTCATATATAGCCCCTATTACTTGCTCACTGTTCTACTTTAATAAAGTAGATTAATACTAATTGGTTAAATGTGGTCTGGAGCCTTCTTAAAACCATTATGGTATATAGAGTTGTTTCCCTTGTTAATAAAAGGCCTTAGCACTAGAGCATTCTAGGATTGGGTGAAACTTCAAGATGGATGTTTGTTGATGGACTCTTAATATAAAATAAAACCAATCCAGGGCAATCCAAGAGAAAACACCCCAACACAACAACAACAATAACAAGTATATACACAACACATATTTAAAGTTACATGTAGTATCCCTGCACGGGTAGAGCCCTTCCTAGCTTCCTTATAATAAACAAGCCTGGACAAGGCACCTGTCACAGACTTTATCAAATACAAATTATCACACCGCGCTTTTTTTATAATATATAGGTTGTGTGATGATGTATATCTTGGGTTATAATTTGTACTGCACAAATTCTGTAACAGATGCCTGATGTCCAGGCTTCCTTAAACGAGTTTTGTAAAAAAAAACCATAGAAGTAGTAGAACTTGGAAACCAGTGCACTGCCTTTCTCAGACTCAAGCTGCCCTTATACTCAAAATTTAAGCCTTGGAGCAGCCCTAGTGTTGCCACCAACCCCGAACAGACAAACAAACAATTGGCAATCATAACTACCGGTATACAATCTGATTAAAGCACAGATCCTATTTCGTTTCGTTTTTTATAGTTCAAAATTTCATTTTACTTGTCTTTACTACACTAGGATCTGGAGAGTTGTTATATTACAGGCGTTTTGGTTGAAGTGAGGGATTAGCCTATGAAACGGTCTGTTACGGCGAGTTCTTGGCATGCCAATGCACGGAACTGGGGGTAAACGACTAGTAATGTCAACACTGATTGATTAATCAATGTCTGACGACCACCCCTGACACGACCTTCCAGTACGACTTGTCAGATCTTCTGTAGTTTAGGCCATCGAAAGTATAAAATAACAAAACGAACTATAGATCTGTATTTTAATCAGATTGCCCGGTATATATCTATCTTGATACATTCGTTAGAACTATTTTGGACTTGAAGAAGTTCTGTGAATCTTTGGTCAGAAGGACTGACAGGCTAAAAGATAACTGACCTATTTAAATGCCTCACTGATGATGATGATGTTGATGATATAAGACATAATATGTGTATTTGAAATTATCCCTACAAGGCGTGCCAATCTGTGATTGTGAATCAACAAGTTTTATTGATAATCATCTAATCAGCTCCCTGATTCAACCCATTACATTAGGCAACACTTAACTACCGTAATCATTATCCAAATTTGGATTTTTTTAAATCTACAGTCAATAATTTGCGTGTGACAAACACTGATGGAATATTTCATCTTAAAGAGTTCATGCCCATAGTCAATATTTATACAACATAACCGAAATTAGATTTTCAATTTGACAAGAAATAAAATCAGGAGGCTTACTAAAAATAAACCCAGATTCAGTCACATTAGTAGCTTCAATCAAACATATTCCTTAGGCATTTTTTTTTAGCAGATTTGCTAATGTACACATTTTTATGTTGATAATGGGAATTTTACAAGCCAAGCGTAAGAGATAAGATAAGGGAGGATTAAGTGGTTTGGGTTATAATATGACTAGTTGTTATACACAGAACATCACAGAAAGATGCTTAGATTACATATACATGTACAAAAGACTAAGCGAAATAATATTATTTTTAAGGTTAGATCCAATAGATCAAGGTTCTGATTGAATGATTTCCAATAGCATGATAATAAAGTAATTGAGTAGTAAATAAATCTTCATTTGGTTTTATCAAAATGATGACAAAACAAACACCTTTTAAAACGTAAAATATCAAATTTCTAACTGCTTTATCCATGCTAAATATGTACTTAGCTAGATTATTGAACACTTCAACATACATTATGCAAGAGCTAAATCTGCCTATTTGCAGGTCTTTCTTTAGACCTGAAATGTTATCTAAATCTGTCTATTGCAGGTCTTTCTTTAGGTCTGAAATGTTATATAAACTATTAAATTAGACATAATCAATCCTCGATGACATTGGATATTCAAGATTTTAACTAGATTAGAACGGCTCGCCATTTAAAAATTTAATTTAAAAATGGGGAAGCATGACCGAGTCTCGAATATACCAGTGCCCTTGTTACCACAATCAGTGATAACTTGGCTAATAATAAAATAATTTGAATGAAATTTTCAATATATTTATTTTACATTATGTATTTTTGAACTATTATAGCAAGAACATTATTAATGATCAGCTCTTTATCTAAATCTTACATAATGTATCATTAATTAAGAAAACAAAATCAAAATACCAACGCTAGATAATCTCCTGGCTCGGATTCAATCAGATTTAAATTTGTGTGGACAACAAATTGCATAGCGAGCAGCACATATATTGATCAAATTTCAATTCAACATATTTTTGTAAATACCATTTTTGGACTGATATTCCTATTAGAGATTCATCTTTCACAATATTGTAGTTTGGAAAGGGATTATATAGCGCTAAAATCACACAAAGCGTCGTCAATAATTGCCAGCCGACAAAATTATAGATGCACAAGCCTGGATACAAGGCACCTGTCACAGACATTGTCTGATTCCAATTCAGACTTTGTCAGATACAAATTCAGTTTTGGCGCCTGTCAGTTTGTCTTTTTTCTGTGTTTTTATTGAATCATTAAAAGGGGCATTATGTAAGATTTAGATAAAGAGCTAGCCATTCTTGGTATAATATTTCAAAAATAGATAATGTAAAAAGAATGTATTGAAAATTTCATTCAATTCACTTTATTCTGAGCGAAGTTATCAATGATGTTGTTTTGACAAGATGTGTACATTGATCGTAGCTACATGCATTGTACTGTTCATTCGCATCTTAGCCTCACTGCTCAACTTTTAAATTAGGTCATTAAATGGCCGAACAATGCTTTTCAACTTAAAACTGGAACCATCCAATGGCATCAAGAGTTGATGTTAATAAGTGTCTAATTAATAATTTATATAACATTTAAAGCACAAAGGTCATTTTGGGACAAGCATACGGTTCAATTTTATTTCAATAATTCGCTTGAGAGTAGGGGCCTTTAGCAGTGGGAGGAAACCAGAGGACTCGGAGAAAACCCATGAAGTTGGACAGGTGACCCTACTCCTTGTCACGTACAACCCAGGAATCGAAAACTACGCCAGTTGATTCAATGACAGACCTGATGATACAGCACCTAGTGCTAATCATTTGGCCATCCAACCCCCCTGAAAATGTCAGGAGCTAGTTCATTAGTGTCTGACATTTTTTCAGGTACAATGAAAACCGTTATTTCCCAGCCTGTATATGTACATACCTCATAACTGGATCAACGTAATATTTCCACTCTCCTTCACCAAACCATATAACTAATGAACTTATTACAACTATAACAGATCCTAATGCATCACCTAATACATGTAAAAATACTCCTCTCATATTCAGTTGAGAACTATTCGCTGAAATAAACAATATAACAATTTAACACTTTAGTTAGTAGGCAACAATCTGTATTCAATGAATACTAGTATAACAATTTAAAATCAACTCAATCTAGTTCGGAGATTGATATGTATTCAATGAGTACTGGTATAACAGTATAGAGAGAGTGAGAGAAATGGGGTTTAACGTCCACTCGACACAAACTAGGTCATTTAGGGACTAACATATGGTTTAATTTTATTTCAATAATTCGCTTGCGCGTAGGGGTCTTTAGCAGTGGGAGGAAACCGGAGGACAAGGAGAAAACCAACGAGGCTGGACAGGCGACCCTACTCCTTGTCACGTACAACCGGGGATTCGAAACCACGCCAGTTGACTCAATGACAGGCCTTATGGTACAGCACGCACGAGCTAACCATTCAGCCACCCAACCCCCCATAAAAGTATAGAATCAACTCAGTAGTTAGTAGATCAATCTCTATTCAATGACTACCAGTATAACAGTTTAAGATCATCTCAGTCTATTTATTAGATTGATCTGTATTCAGTGGGTACTAGTTTAACAGATTAAATCAACTCAGTTTAGTCAATAGATCAATCTGTATTTTATGAGTACTAGTATAACAGTCTAAAATCAACTCAGTCTAGTTAATAGAGAGAGAGAATGGGGTTTAACGTCCACTCGACACAACTAGGTCATTTCGGGACTAATATATGGTTTTTAATTTTATTTCAATAATTCGCTTGCGCATAGGGGTCTTTAGCAGTGGGAGGAAACCGGAGGACCCGGAGAAAACCCACGAGGTTGGACAGGCGACCCTACTCCTTGTCACGTACAACCGGGGATTCGAAACCACGCCAGTCGACTCAATGACAGACTTTATGATACAGCGCGCGCACGCTAACCATTCAGCCATCCAACCCCCCTCTAGTTAATAGAACATAGAACAATCTGTATTCAGTGAGTACAGTAGAATCTGTATTAACAGTCACTCAAGGGAATTTTCATGACTGGCCGCCTAACAGGAGTGACCGCTTAATAAAATCTGAGTGTTTGTGCCGACATCAAGTAAATTTTACGCTTGGATGCATTGGGAGCAAACATCAATACTTGCATCAGTAAATTTGGCCGTCGCTGAAACTTGCTTGGGACGATAATTATTTGATACAAATCTCTGATACATCTTCTGTAAATGTGTCATTTTGTACCAACATTGATACTACTGTCTACCACTGTGATGTATTCGATATTATTTATCCATTTTTGTGAATAAAATCCATGAATTGATTTTATTTTATCAAAAAGCACATGTCCAAAAAAACATCGCTGAATTTGTCACCGATTTTTTGGGGGTGTAACTCTGTATGTAATGTAGGAGGCGCTAAACTTCCGCTTAGCAACAAAGTGGCAATGGAAAATAGATACTAAATGATCGCGACAAAACTCGGCTTTGACGGTACTATTAGTTTATTCAATTAGTATATAATTTTTCAATACGTGTGAAAACAATGATCAGGGTTTGTCATTTAATAAAACAAAAGATTAATTAACAGGTAATTAACAGAGTTTATTGTTATTATCACAGTTCGTTTTACCTGACAGGTGGGGGAATAGATAATTAACTATTAATCACCAGATTAGCGGAGGTGCTACGAGGTATGGTATAATTTAATAATGGCCATTGAATAAGCGCTATTTTGCTAAATTTATTGGTAAAATAGTGACCGCTGGCCGCATTAGAGGAGTGGCCGGTGATTAAAGAGATGACACGGGGGTGGGAGGTGGGGGTGGGTGGTGGTTGGAATTTATCGTGACCCCTTACAAGGAGTGGCTGCTCATACAGATTCTACTGTACTAGTTTAACAGTATAAAATCAACTCTGTCCAGTCAATAGATTCAAACTGTATTCGGTGAGTACTAGTATAACAGTATAAAATCAACTCTGTCTAGTTAATAGATCAATCTGCATTCTTTGAGTACTAGTATAACAGTTTAAAATCATCTCAGTCTAGTTAATAGATCAATCTGTATTCAATATAACAGTATAAAATCAACTCAGTCTAGTTAAAGGGGCACTATGCAAGATTAGATAAAGAGCTATAATATTTTAATAAAAGATAACGTAAATAGAATATGCTAAAAATTTCAGTCCACAATGAAACAAGATATTAGCTTTTGAATTTTAGGCTAGCCTTGATCATCATTGATGAAGTCAGTATGATAAAGTCTCAATTTTCCATTTTTATGTTTAATTATCTTTTAAAAACATATTCCAATCCGCTAAATACTGCAGGCTAGCGATGACATCGACAGTTGATTATGGTCTGAATAAGTAAATTAATGTCTGATTAATAGTTTATATAACATTCCAGCCTAAAGAAAGATCTGCAATAGGCAGATTTAGCTCTTGCATAATGTATGTTTAATAGAGAAATCTGTATTCAGTATAACAGTTTAAAATCAACTCAAAACTAGTTAATAGATTTTAATTCAGAATATCTGAACCAAGCTGCAGAAGATGTGTAAAATCTTAGTGATAAAAATTTTCCCTAATTTTTGGTGATAACATTCTTAGGTGTTAAAGAAATTGTCCCCATACAGTTATTACAATAATTTTAAAGTACCGTAATCTTATACCTTGGGTCTCTTAATTTAAACAGACACACAAATGAAATGAGGTGCAACTGATTTATTTTTATGAAAGTGGAAGTTAAAATAAACCTTACCAACAGTTAAATGCTCTCCTGTAGCACCAGCTTCAACATCCTCTGCTGCTGTGATCAAATCAACATTATTGGTTCCATCATGGTTCAACACTTTCTCCACTAAAGCCTGATCTTCTGTATGTGGACAATGATCACTAGTCCCATTATGGTTATGATTATGATTGTTGCCATTTCCATGACTGTGACCTCCATTCTTATAACTATGACTCCCTTTTTCATGACCTTTTTTGCCACCATGACTGTGTCCATGTCCTCCACCACCACCATGAGAGTGACCTGTTTCAATATTAAACATGCCAACAGTGAGACTGATGTCCTCCGCCGAAATCCCAAAATAAACAGATGACACGTATCAATTAATTGCACATTTATCTTTTTCTAAAGTATCAAGTAATCAAACTGATTATCTACGCTTAGTCTAAGCATAAAATGTTCATGATCAAACTCAGTCAGGTTTTGAAGTACGTGGTAGTGAAACTACATATATACACTCAGGTTTTGAAGTACATGGTAGTGAAACTACATGTATACACTATGTTTCATCACTCTCCATCAGTCAGAATCAATGTTATCTTGTCCCCAAGCATCGACCAATGACATATTAGCGGGACATATTAATCAGTCAAGGCATTTGCCTAATGAACAAATATACCTCAATTAAAAGCAGAGTTGTTACATGTATGTTCCAATGTCTTGACCAATAAAATTGCTTATCGCTCTGCTTACCCACAGTCGAAAATGTTCATCATCGAACTAAGTCAATGTATTGACGTGATGAAACTATACACCAAATTTCATCACTCTCACTTAATTATAACCAAAGTTATTGTATCCCAAAGCAATTGCTTACCTCTGCTTACCCTAAGCAGAAAATTCTCATCTTAGAACTCCATCAAGGCATTGACCTAATAAACACTAGCACCACATTCTAGCTCAATTACTAAAAAGTGTGACGAACGGACAGACAGAAAGATCCATTTTACTAGCGTGGGACAATAATAAATGATATGTTCAGTGCTAGGTGATATTTATGTTTAAAACAGACTAATATGCCCATTACCAGCTCTGTATCTCTGCCCATTTGTAAGATTTTTTTAAAATTAAAAATCCAATAAAAATATTTAGCTGCTTAGGAGTATCGTGAAACTGAAAGTAGCCTAACTACATAACCGAAAGTAGCATACATGTACCTCAAAAACCGGAAGAGAAATGCCGCCATGCCTATGTCACTTAGCGACTCGATCTGCCCTTAAACCCGAAATTTCAGCTTCAGGGTAGCCCTAGAGTAACCTCTAACCACAATACCACGAACAAGCAGACACATGACAGCCAAAGATAAAATTAAGATTAAAAACTGGCAGACAGAAAAATGGAACGCAGATTGAGCACTTTTCCACAATGTCCATAATTCCAGGACAAAGAACGCAGTTTATGACATTATCATGTTGATTCTCTGTATAGGTTCACCCACGGTGATGGTATAGATCGTTTATTTCTTAGGGAGGCTGTAAATGTTTGGAAAGTTGCTTACACCTGTACATGTACTTACCATGTTCATGGAAAAGACAAAGACCGATTAAATTAATCAGTAAACCAACACTGCCAACAATCAACAATAACTTGGGATCTTCGACTTTTTCTATTAATATCAATCGTTTCAAAGCTTCAACCAAAATCGAGAAACACAATGCCACAAGAAACACAGAATTTATCATGGCTCCCAAAACTTCTGCTCTTGCCCAACCAAATGTATTTCTCTTGGACGGCCATTTAGATATCTAAAAAAAAAACAGAAAAAAAACATTTTAAAAAGTTTCCTATTTTTCAGAGCAAAGATGTATGAATAGGACATCACAGTAAATATTTCTCAAAGAAAATATACAGTTTAACTAAAAAAAAAAGTGGGTTTGCCTGATAAACCACCGGAAGCTTTGTCATCTGCAGTGTACAATTCATCTCATGTTTCCCCACCCCCCTTTTGCCGTATACATGATCATGATCCAAATTTAAGAAAATTGGTATTGAAATTAAACGGAGTTAAGCATTCTGTACCAATCGGGCTAATAAAGACCAGCCTATGAAATGCAGTGTGCAATGAGGACGGGCTTTTTGCCAGGACAGCGGCAGTTCCACCTATACTTCATCAATTCTAACTATACTATTCAAAAAAAGTAGGGGATATTTGATTTTTAAGTGTTATTAAAGTCACCTTATGAAACTGACGAAGAAACAAATGACAAAATGAAATGAAGTTCACATTCATGGATTTATTCCAAATGATCGTTAGACTAAGTAAGGCACAGACTGACCATTATAAGGGTAAAATGATACCCGGGGTCAAACAGCAAAGTTACCACAGCATCACAACCAAGTCAGTAACGGGTAAATCCTCCTCTGTTTGCCAAACAAGCATTGATCCGACGTGGCATACTCCTAATGAGGCGTCTAAGGTCATTTTGGTCCAGATTGTCCCATTCCTGTTGCAATGCAGCAGCAAGTTCTTGGACATTGGCAGGACGTTGTTGACGTTGACGTAACCTCTGTCCAAGCATGTCCCAGACATGCTCGATGGGGGATGTGGTGATGTTCTGTTGTTGGAGGTAACCTGTAACGATCCTGGCCCTGTGACATCTTGCGTTGTCATCCTGGAAGATGAAATGGCGGCCATGACGTCGTGCGAACGGCACAACATGGACTGCCAAGATGTTGTCCCGGTAGTACTGGCCTGTAACACGCCCTGCAACAACATGTAAAGCCGTTCTTCCAGCAACAGTGATGCCTCCCCACACCATAACAGAACCACCCCCAAATCGATCATGTCTGATGACGTTAACGTCTTGGAAGCGCTTGTTTCGACGACGCCACACCCTCCTACGTCTGTCCAAAAAATCAACAGTGAACCTTGACTCATCTGAAAACATCACATTGCTCCAGCGTCGATTATCCCAGTGTTGACGATCCCTACACCAACGACGTCTTGCCTGAATGTGATGATCTCTCAAACAAGGGATCACGCGAGGACGTCGGGCGCGAAGGCGACCCCTATGCAGTCGATTCCGAATCGTCTGGCCACTCACTCTCATACCAGTGTCTGTTTGAAGACGAGCGCTGATCTGATTTGCTGTGATGACACGATTTCTCAAGGCCAAGGTACGGATAAATCGATCCTGGGCTTGAGTTGTCGCCCTTGGTCGACCTGAGCGTGGTCTGTCCTGTACAGATTGTGTATCACGGTATCTGGACCATAGCCTGCTTATGACAGACTGAGAAACATTCATCGTCCGCGCCACAACCGCCTGTGTTGTGCCGATCTGTAGCATGCCAAGGGCACGTAACCTTTCATTTTGGGTAAGCCGACGCATATCAAAATTTGTTTTCTGGTCACTAAAACAATTAAACTGATGTTTCCACCCTGGAATTCAATGCCACAATGACTGTAACATTCAAAGTCAGAGTCGTGCAAATCTTGGGTTGGACCCCCATGATGATCCCAAGCATCACCTGCATTCCATGCGGTAGCTATTGGTGCGTTTGGGCGTCACATGTAACTGGAAATGTTTCTTCTGTTAGGTTCTATAGTGACTTTTTTCGTAGTCATTTGCATATTTTAGTATTATGCCCCCCAAATCAAATATCCCCTACTTTTTTTGAATAGTATATCAAGGATTCTTTTACGTGCATGCCAAACATGTACGAACATGGACATCCATTTAAGGTATTAAAAACGGTTAAAGTACTGTTCGTCTCCAAACAGTATTGTTTACATTGTATCCGTGTTGATAGCCTTGCTTGCCACGCAATTAGTTTTTCTGCAATATTCTGCTATGCACTTTTTAAATTATTATTTTGTTGTTAGTGAATCAGACTTTACTTATTACTTCCACATTGTGTTGTAGGATATGTTTTAATTTGTTCATTACATAATGACACCCGAAACCATAGGGTACAGGACTCGTGTACTGATTATAGAATGTAAATTGTGTCTCAAATATTGGATATTAGGATCATATAGTTCCATGACAAGATAACAACATCTATGTTGCTTGAAATTGATTAATAATGGATTCTAATTCGTGTTTCTAATTTCGAATACAATGGAAAATATTGAGTTAGAGACTTAGCTCCTTTAAGTAAAGATTATTATGTTTACATGTACATGGACAAAATACAGTTTAAACTAAAACCTTGACACAAAAATATTCAATCATTGTCAACCATGATTTTATTTACAATTTGCAATACATGCAGTTTATCGTCTTATAGTGAAAGTCAGTGACATCATTTGTATTCTTAGTACAATATTTAACTTTTTAAAGATTAAAAGCGACTTATTCATGTAAGTGGTTCTGTCTTACATACATACATACATACATGTATAATCATCGCTAAATGAGTAAGACGCTGGATCCTAACCTGGAGGTTGCGGGTTCGCTCCCGGTTTTGACTGAAAAAGTTCATCAGGATTTTCCGGTATGGTTTCCCCTTGTCAGTGGTGCAGGACGGGGGGCCTGGCAAAGACAGCTGTCTGGTCGTTTAGATGGGATGAAAAACCTAGGTCCCATGTACACATTGTCGTGCACATGAAACATCCCTTGGCGCCGCTGTCCAGGCAAAATTTCCCTCATACTGTATGACGTATGCCTGTCTTCATTAGCCCAGTCATAGCAGAACAGTAGGATGTTAAACCCATTTCATTTCATCTCAATTCCCTATAACCATCTGCAGAGAATCTTAAATGTTAATTGAAAATCTCTCAAATGATAAAATCTGCGTCATTTTACCCAATGAAATTAATATGACACCGCCATGGGATCAGTTGGGCATACAGGAGAATCTTATAATTTTAAAAATGCTTTAAAATGCTGATTGGACACAAATGTACTTGGCTGTATGTATGTGCATACTAATAAATCTACCTAAAATAATTTAATACCATTTATACTAATTCTTGACATACATGCACTTAAACATACTAAGAGCTAAATCTGCCAATTGCAGGTCTTTCTTTAGGCCTTAAATGTTATCTAAATTATTAATTAGACATTAATTAACTTATCCAGACCATAATCAACTCTCGATGGCATCGCTAGCCTCCGATCTGTTGTGGATTATGATCCGATTTACTGCATAACTTTCCTTCACGATTTAATGATTAAATGCATAATCGAGACGATGATTTTTGTCGTACCGACTTTTGTAATGATGATCGAGGCTAGGCGGATATTTCAATCACTATATCTTGGTTCATAGTGGATCGATTTGAATGAAATTTTCAGCAAATTGTCTTTACATTATTTAGTTTTTAACTATTATAGTGAGAACTGCCAACTCGTTATCTAATCTCCCATAATGTATCTTTAAAATAGAGGTCAAGGAGATAAATTTACCCTTTATATACTGATCTACTGGTATCTACGTTTATTCATGAAGCTATTATCAAGTAGTACACAGCTTGAGTGACATCATTGTGTGAGGTCATCAGACTTAAATTAAACACATGAATGAACAAACTAAAGAAAAATCTAACACATCCTTTTTTTGCCCACTTGAATTTCACACACATCTCAACACTTATATATTTTCTTCTCATGTGGCCTAAAATTTTTGAGTACATTCATTTCCTTTGTGTGTTTGTCGCACACACATGCAACTTGCATGTAGAGGAAACAGTACTTATCCTTGATCTATGAAGCTTCATGTGTGTAACGGTCCCATGATTACCAGTTTGCGAAAGGACATGTCCAGCATATACAGTTGAACCATTATCCATGGTATGTATTGTAGAGCTATGTAGTTAAATTTTAAAACAAGAAACCAAACATAAGTTTATTATTTACACTGCAATAAGTACAAACAACTATTATTATATACCAGCAGTACGTGTATATAACATAAATCAATATTAGCATAATACATGTACATAAAAATATATAACAAGTAACTTTAAATCCATACATTTATAATAAACCTATATTTGCATAAGATATTGTACGCAGAGATATACTTATTTACCTGCGTATTTAATTACATGTATAATCCCAAGTTACTTTAGAATGTCAACAAAGAAACAACAAAAGGATTTAAAACAACAGACAATATTTACCATCAAACATTTCAGTAAATGGTAAAAGTTCTAGGTTTTGTATAATTAAGACTTGTTATAAGTATAAACTCATGTCTTTTAACCAGCTAGAACACAATAGGTTCTACTATCTTTAATCTTTTCTTACAGTGTTATAAAAATACTTCTTATATAATTAACCTAACAAACTATAACACCTAGTTAAACATACATTATTGCAGGTCTTTACTTAAAAATACATTATGCAAGAGCTAAATCAGCCTATTGCAGGTCTTTCTTTAGGCCTGAAATGTTATATAAACTATAAATTAGACATTAATTAACTTATCCAGACCAAAATCAACCCTCAATGTCATCGCTAGCTTGCGATATTTACTGGATTAGGATGTGATCTGCTGCTCAACTTTCAATCATGATTAAATCAAGAAATGGATAATCGAGACTATGCATTTTTCTGTACCGACTTTAGTAATGATGATCGAGGCCAGACCCAAAATTCAATCGCTAATTCTCAGTTCAGAGTGGATCAAATGAACTGAAATTTTCAGTGAATTTCCTTTACATTACCTAGTTTTGAACAATTATAGTGAGAACTGCCAGCTCTTTATCTAATCTCCCATATTGTATCTTTAAGTCAGGGACAGAAGAGCATATTTTTTCAGCCGATCGCGGGGATTACTAAAATCGCTAAAAAAAATTAGCTTGTGTGCCCCTTCACGTCGACAACGATTCTGCTCAGCGAACTATTCGGCCAATCAATCGCTCGTATCTAGCATGTTAGATATTTTCGGCCGAATATTTTTTTCCGTGTCCAGCATATATTGTCGAGCGATCCATTTTTATAAGCCAACCGTGGACATCACTGATATATCATGATCTCAAAATGGCTGCCTCCACTGCTGAATCATGGAGTCTGATGATAGACATCACCATGACAGAATACCGGAATCTTGTAATGAGAAATTTGTCTATATACCGAGCTCTTCTACGTATTCTGCGTTTTAGGAGCAAATGAATACCAGCTACTGCAGCAATCTAACGTTTTTCGGCGATTCATATTTTGTACAATTTACTCACAGAGTGGTGTATGCTCTCAAGACGATCGCTATATGTGCCCATTCGTTATCTGCCGTAAAAACTGCCGGCGAATTTCAATCCCCGCGATCAGGTGAAAAAATACGCTCATCTGCGCATAGCATTAGAGAAACTGGTTCATCATAAACTGGTTCAATTTTAATTCAATAACAATTTGCTTGTAGGGGTAATTAGCAATGTGAGGAAGTCAGAGGTTGGACAGGTGATCGTCCTTGTCACATACATGTACAGGCTGGGAATTTAAACTAGGTCACTTGACTTAATGACAGGTGCTATGATCTCAGGTACCTCTAATACTTATACTCCTTACAGTTGTCCAGCTACTGTTTCACATATGGAGTTTATTACTTTATCCAGTTATTACATGGGTCAAAAAGATTATCAACTTATCATTTTTACCTGGATTTTCATACCTGATATTGGCTAGGTAATTTGGTTCCAAGAGCTGCCAGTGTAGCGAGCCAAAATGGTGTACCGGTACCAGGGTCTTGTCCGTGTGATAATTTCTAAACTAATGAACAGGGCCCCCCCCCCCCCCCCCGCCCCAACTTATGTTCAGATTGTATGCATGTAAAATTATATTTCATTGAGATTTCTACCAAAAAAATTATAAAATTTCATTCATGAATCATATTAAAAATCTATTTTCCAAAATGCGTCATTTGCATGTTTGGGAAAACATCAAAGTTTCCGCAGTTTAATCCATGCTAAAATTGATTCTTAAAACCTTGTTAAGAAATCAAGAAAGTTGGCGCTGCCTACTGAAGTATCCTGTTCAATTCATCATATCTTTGTAAATACCGAACATAATTGAACCAATTTTGGACTAATATTTTCTTAGAGATTCAACTTTCACAATATTTTAATTTGTAAGGAATTTAAATCCCTCAAATGACGACTAAGTATACACTTGAGATAACCTGTGCTTTAATTTGATTCAAATTCAAAAGAAAATCACTGGCATGATATGTTGCTGGGATAAATTTGCAAACTCGACAATTTAAATTTTGAATTCTTTAAAATGTCAAGTAACCCTAATAATAATATCAAGATCGGTCAAATAAAAATTGACCCGGTAAATGTGTCAAATCAGGTAAATGAACTCATGGCCTAATATCCTTTTGAACCACCACTATCATATAGTACATAATTGACTGTTAATACCTGATACTCCCGATAAAGGGACCTAATTCACGAAAACTTATATTAAAATATTTTTAAAGATGCAATCATTTTATTGGTTGAGAGTTTAAATTATAGTAAAAAATTATTTTAGCTCTTAGCCAATGAAAGGACAGGATTCTTAAAATATGTTACTTTAAGTTTTTGTAAATAAGGTCTTAAGTCAATTTTAACTCTTACATTTTCTCACTCTCTGGTAATGATCTAGTTATGGCTAATTTTGTGATCAAATAGGTCAGTTGTGACTAAATAGGTCAGTTGTGATTCCCTTTTTCCTGAGAATCAACAACCACTTCTAAAGGAAGACGTTCTACCGACTAAATACACCTACTCCCTCAACCTCTATTTTCCTAAAGATACATGTACTATAGAATCCAACTGGTTCAGGATCTATCCTGTTGAAAGGATCAAGTGAGATCTTTTTGCCATGATAAACAAAATTGCCATGATAAACAAAATCTTGACTGTCAGTCCTTTTTATTAAATACGCTGTACATGTTCTAATCCATTCAATATCTAAACCACCAGATGTTCTAGATAGTTGATTATCGGCTTTTCATGTGAATAAATGTTCAAATAATAACTTATATAACATTTTAAGCCAAAAAAGATGTGCAATAGGCAGATTGGCTGGGGTATATTGCATCTTTAACCGAATTATACTCAATGGCACATACAGGTCATCAAAATAACTGTTAATTGATACTGGAATAAATCACAAACTTATCAAAATAAATAAAAATATCAAAATATTTTGACAATTTCAAAACCTATTATTAAATGAAATTGGATCTTTCAACACTTGGTGTAGGACATGTATGTTAGTCTGAATAAACAATCAACCATGAACTAATTTAAGTTCTATAGCCTACTTACATGTATAACATACATTGAGTTTTTGTACATGTACCGGTACACATATGTCTTGTCATACTCATACCTCATAGTATATTAGTATGGTATAAGGGAGCTACAGTGGCTTTATGGTTTCTTGTCGTACTCATACCTTATATAGTATATTAGTATAGTATAAGGGAGCTGCAGTGGCTTTATGGTTTCTTGTCGTACTCATACCTTATATAGTATATTAGTATAGTATAAGGGAGCTGCAGTGGCTTTATGATTTCTTGTCGTACTCATACCTTATATAGTATATTAGTATAGTATAAGGGAGCTGCAGTGGCTTTATGGTTTCTTGTCGTACTCATACCTTATAGTATATTAGTATAGTATAAGGGAGCTGCAGTGGCTTTATGGTTTCTTGTCGTACTCATACCTTATAGTATATTAGTATAGTATAAGGGAGCTGCAGTGGCTTTATGGTTTCTTGTCGTACTCATACCTTATAGTATATTAGTATAGTATAAGGGAGCTGCAGTGGCTTTATGGTTTCTTGTCGTACTCATACCTTATAGTATATTAGTATAGTATAAGGGAGCTGCAGTGGCTTTATGGTTTCTTGTCATACTCATATTGTATGAATACAATACATTGATAGACTTTAGTTAATTTTCAAAATGCAATTTGCAAGGGGTATTATGGATATATGAATTACCTAGCACTAAAAAAGAATATTGTTCCATTAAATATTTGTTTCTTTCTAATAATGCTGTGACAATATGCACTAAATTACTCTGACTATAATCCGCTGAGAATATTATGTTTCCACGGACTATAACCCCCCGCAAATTTTATGTTTCCACCAACTATAATCTGCCGTGAACTTTATATTTTCGCGGACAATAATTCACCGCAAAGTTTATATTTCTGATGAATTTTTTTCCTCGCAGAAAGTCTCTATTTCCGGGGAGTGTATATTGGAAAAACTCCACGATTTTTGAGCGGAAAAAAACAACACCATCAAGAACTAATTTCATACTTCCATTTGAAGTATAGTAGGACAGCGGGATAAAGAATAAAAATATGTCAATTTAATGGAGAGTGTTATGAAATGAAAGTGTTTTATTAATAACATCCTACCTTTCTGCACAAACGGGGATAATGATGTTCACATAACTTTAACATCCTACCTTTCTGCACAAAATGGGATAATGCCTACCTTTCTGCACAAACCGGGTGAACGAAGATAGGTATGTACACAATTCAGTGTGCTTTGAGGACAATTTTGACTGGACGGCAGTATTACAATGGATTCAACATCCCCCCCCCCCCCATCTGCACAAGTTGGGTATACACCATTCAATGTGCTTTGACAGATTTTGCCTAGACAGCAGTGCTCTGGTCTGTTAGGTGATCTTAAATGTCCTACCATTTTTATACCATCCGAAGGACAAGATGCTTTTCCATGCCAGGCCCTCTGTCCTGCACAATTGGTATGCAATGTACTTCATGAACAAAATTTACGTAAATATACTTACTCTAACAGAGGCGAATCCAACTATTAAAGCCACGACATCTGATAACATGTGAAAAGAATCAGCCACCAGGGCTATAGAATTGGTGATATAACCAACTATAATTTCCACCAGAAAAAAACTCGCCGTCAGCCCCAACATCATCAGCAGACGACATGTTTTAGACGAATACTTCCCCATTCTTCTTAATCAATGTCACACGCCTGTAAAATAAATTTATATTTCTATAATAAAGATCTGTAGCAGGATTAAAGGATGTCATAATGCACCCTAGACTGAGTCATCATGATGGAGGGATAACTTGACACTTGCATGGGATAGTATTTAAACTTTCAATAAAATGATTTTTAATACCAAATGGGGGGGGGGGGGGAGATAAGTAACAGACACAGGGCAACCCAGTACATTGTAGGTCATTTCGGAACTAACCTATGGTTCTATTTTATTTCAATATTCGCTTGCGCTCAGGGGTCTTTAGCAGTGGGAGGAAGCCGGAGCACGGAGAAAACCCATGAGGTTGTCACGTACAACCGGGGAATTGAAACCACTTTAATCAACTCAATGACAGACCTTGTGATGCAACGCACATGCGGTACCCCCCCCCTCACGCAACAGTAAGTAATAGAGAAAAACAATGAAAGTTCATTAAAATTACATATTTCATATTTGTCACCTAACAAATGATGCCCTAAGCATGAGTTCCATGTACATTGTATATTGCTTAATGATTACTCCAGCCCTGTCTGACACAATAGAAGTACATGGTCATGAGACTAAACCTTATTATCAAATTTCAACTCTATTGTACCTGTACATAAAATCTGTTTGTAGGTTTGTGGGGTGGGGATTATTCCATGATCTATTATTTTGAATATGATATTCTATGAGACTTAATATTTTAGATACATCTTCATCTTTTAAAAACTGACAGTGATGAAGTTTAAATATACATACTTGTATAGTGTGTGATACAATTTGTGATAAATAGACAATACCTCATTTACAGTTTAAGATTCGTGACATATTAAATGAATCCCAATTAAGATAACGGGAGGTGAAGTAGGACCCCATAGTGATCATGTGATCAGGTATTAAATCATATAACCGCTGTCAGTAAGTACCAGTAAGCATTGCTGACTTTGCTCTCTATTACAACAGTACATGTATATAGGTCAGGTCAATGGCCTGAGTGATACACGGTCCATGATGTACATATTGTATGTACTGCAGTGTATTTTAGATAAATTAGACATTACGTGATTAGCTAGTTATCACCCCATCGTGTACTAATTTCAATGTTTTTAATAGACTATAACAAAGCTTGAAATATATGTTCTATATACTGACCCGTTTTTCAACCTGTTGCCTCTATAGTAACTTTGTATACGAGGAAAGTAGTGTCACGGATTCGCACGTGCACTACAGGCAGCAAACATTTGCCCAAAATAGACATTCACATGGCAATATCCATTCGCTTATCTATCAATGAAACCATGAAAAATATTCTTCTTTACTCGTTGTACTTTTAAAAATACGTACATTGTAGTTACGAACTTGATTAAAATTCTGGCTGAAACTCGGCGATTTAATTTCTAATTTAGTTGATTGTAACCAACTATTTGGTAAGGCTAACTTCAATTTTGGTCAAAGGTCACGAGATGTAAACAAGGCTTGCGCTCATGATATCCAAACCCTAACCCTGGACCTAGCCCTAATGCTTACGCTCACAAAATCTCGCAAACAATCACGTGTTCTAACTTTATTTACATCTCGGCGACCTTGACAAAAATTGAGCTGTCCTTAACAAATACATTTCGCCGTATTGTAACGGCTAAATCTATTTGTTAAGGCTAGCCCAATACTTATGCTTTCGCGCATAAAAACTGCATTTGCAATTTCTAACATGGTTACAAAAAGTTTCAGTTATTACCTGTCTAAATTCAGCAACAAATCATTTTTTGTAGAACAGAAATATAACTAAAAAGACGTGCATTGACGGTTTCATCACAATTAAAAATATGACAACGCGACACAATGCGTAAATTGTGCGTCTTACCTTCAATAACAATATCCATAAAATAGAAATTTCCATATCCATACATACTACGCGACAGCCAACTATAGAATGATAATTCATACACAAAGGATATATTATTGAAACTTAAATTAATTAAGCAGTTCACTAAACGATCCTTACTGAAGAACTTTCAGCGTGTAATGTAGTTATTATCATGCAGTTTTGTTTCAATGCCAGAATTGTCCCGTGATATAACAGATCAAAGAATTTTTTCGAGACGCATTGTCACGTATCACCTTCTACTGTTAAGACTACCTGGCGCCTCAAAATAACCCGAAACTAATTAGAAAGCATGCAGTTTCACCTTGAAATGAGTTCAATTGATTTAAGGTTTATTCTACAATTTATAAGACAGTTTAGAGCGCAATGCTTTAGGAGTCGTATTAATTTTCTTATTACGGCTTTTTTTTTTCTTCGCGTGTGTCGTGTTTTAGATGTGTATAATTTTTATATTTGTCTGTGAAACATAACAGGATTATGATAAAGGATATTTTTCTTTGCGTGTATCGTGTGCTCTCTATTGGATGTATATGATTTTTATATTTGTCTGTGATAATTATTGGAAACATAATAGGATTATCATAAAGGCTATTTAACATCCAACAATATGAGAACGGCAAGCACTCTCTACATATTGCGTTTGTAAAACACGAAATTCTCCGTTATTAGAAAGTTTTAACTATAGTCTGATGCTTGTAAACGTTGAAAACAAATCAGCAGAAAAGTTAACTGATAAATTTACCACAATGTTTTCTTATTTTTTGGGTTGTTCAGTTTCATCTCTCTCTCTTTCTCAAAAACTAAGGGCTGCCCACTCGTACAAATGTTAAATTCGATCCAATTTGTACCTACCTAAAAAAAAAACCCTGTATCCTGACTGAGAAATTTAAGAATTTGATTTTCAGAGCTGAAGTTGCAACTTTAAAGTACCTAAGTCTCTAACTCAATATCATCCAAAGTCTTTGACATTGAAAACACAATTATTTATCAGTTTAAATCAACATTGATTTTGTGATCTTACCAGGAAAAGATGGGCTTCGGTTCTGATATCCAATATTTAAGACAAAATAAACATTTTACCATTGGTACACTTTAGTGTGTACCAAAATGCCTTTCAACACCATTTGTAAAAAGGGACGCCTAGACATATTCCACAAGTAATGTCAGATAGGGACGCCATTTTCTTATCTGGAGAGCTTGCGCAATAAATATTATCATCAGTGTAGATTCAAATAAACACACGCTAGAGACTGCCATTCGATTGAGACTTCTTGCGTATTTCGCCAAACATAACAGATTTGAAATTAGAGTAAAATTGAAAACGATTGAATGTAAATCAGTTTATATACATTCATATTACATTATTATATGCGTTGCGACCCATTTTTGTCAATTTCTAGGTCAAAAATTTAAATGATTTAGCTCCTTTAAAGTGTCCATACCCAGGACATGTAGGTAACACGGTTATAATAAATACTAAAGTGTAAACCTAACACAGATTGAAGTAATATCAACCGGAATCTGGGTGGTTGACATTATCTGATGCAGAGATATAAAACTGCACGCAAAAATATTTCACGCTTAATAAGTTAATCCGGGTGGTTGACATTATCTGATGCAGAGATATAAAACTGCACGCAAAAATATTTCACGCTTAATAAGTTAACTATTATGGGGCACATTTTAGCTATTACTGTTAAATTGTGGTTTATCATACCAAAGAAATGTTTTAAGTTTATTTACCATAACATTAACCAAGAGGGAATAAAAAAAGGAGTATGGATAGGGATGGGAATGTATGTGTGAATGATGATTTTTATCAGATTTGCTTGAGTTCATTCACCACAATGCATTAAAAAAAATGACATTACATAAAATGTTTTTATAGCAAATACAAAACACAGATTATGGCTTTTCACATCCATGTACTTTTAAAATCCTACAAGTTATAAAAAAATGTAGGCAGACATTTATTTGATGGTCATTTCCAATAAAAGTATGGCAAATTTGGTATATATGGAAAGTATAGACATCCAATCTTACTAGAAAAATACTGGATTACCTGAAAAACACCCATGGGGCAAGCAGTGGACAAAAATGTCAGGGTATCACTAACTGGCAACCTGACAGCTTATTGTCTGTCAGCTTGACTTATAAGAACTGTTGTTATTTCTTGACGAATGGTTAGGCGCTTTTGGGAACATTGAGGGATGTAATTGTAAATGTATAAAAGACTCTGCAAATAAATGGCAGAAAAAAAAGTAACGGCAGAAAATAATTCAAGAATTTAATTTGACCTCAATACTTATGGTAAATGGACAGTAAGTAATAACAAATACATTCTGAAAAATGAGTCCTCCCTCAATCAAGTTACATGTAGGTGACAAAAATAGCTTAAAAGTAGATTTTTTATAGCTTGAGGTATCTCCTCACGAATACAAAGTGTTGAGAGGGATTTGAAGCAAATTTTTGATAGATTAATTAGTTTAAATATGTGTTTACTCAAAATATATCATCAAATCACAGTTTGTACGTGGGAAGGGATCTTTAAACATACATTATGCAAGAGCTAAATCTGCCTATTGCAGGTCTTTCTTTAGGCCTGAAATGTTATCTAAATTATATTAACGTTAATTAACTTATCTAGACCATAATCAACTCTGGATGACATCGCTAGCCTATGATATTTACTCGATTTGGATCCGATCTTCTGCTCTACGCTCATTCACAATTAAATCAAGAAATGGATAATCGAGACTATGTTTTTTTATCGTACCAACTTTAGTAATGATGATCAAGGCTAGGCCCAAAATTCAATTGCTAAATTCTCGGTTCAGAGCTGATCAATTTGACTGAAATTTTCAGCCAAAAAATACCCTTCACATTATCTAGTTTTTAACTATTACAGTGAGAACTGACAGCTCTTTATCTAATCTCCCATAATGTATCTTTAAATAATGCATCATTTATCAGTTGTATTGTGAAACACAAATATTTCTCTTGTTGATTAATCTGTCTATTAAAGATAAAATTCAGATGTTCAAAAAATTATTTGTATTCACATATATATATGTGAAAGTCCAACCAGCAAAGTTCAACTTACTTTAAATTTCACATAACTTTACA